GCGAGCTCCCCGTCCCCTGCTGCCACCATCCAGCAATCTGGGGCACAGTATTACAAAATTTGAGAACCCCTGACATATGTTTTAAATTGAAAAATTGTGGGGGGAAAATCTTCATTATGTTAAATCTTACATTTATAAAATTTTAATGTTGGGTTTAAATTGACCCAGTCTAGGTTTTTGCTTTTGTTTTTTGGTGGGGTTTTTTTTTTCATTTTAAATGATATTGCTGAGATCAGTGGTACGAACAGTTGGGATGGCTGAAAATTGGAGAGATTAGCAATCGTATGCTTGGAGCTCTTTCATGCTGTGATTTAAATGTGAGGAAATGTAATTCAAGACATGAAAATGCAAAACGAGAGAGAGAAATTGGATAATTAATTCTGTAAGAGACTTTGGGGTAGAGGTGAAGTGCAGCAAATTGAAATTGTAATGTCATGCAGGAACAAAGGAAGACAACTCTTTCAGTCTGCATCTGTTGGTGCACTGTATTGTAAAGTAGGAGAAAACAATAGTTTTTTGTTTTCAGATCAAGTTATACTTTAGTTCAGATGAATGAACCATGGACCATCATAAAAGAACTTGGGGTGAAATTTCATGCAATACACTAAACCGTCTGCCCAGAGGAGCTTTCCATCTATTGACTCTTCTGTGAAATCCTATGAAATGTGAACTTTCATTTCTACTCAGGAGAACTTTACAATCTTTTCTCTGATGCCTGATGAAGGGTGTTTGTGCCCAAAAGCTTGCAATTAAAGACATTTTTTGCAAAAAATCTTGTTGGTCTAATAGAAGATATCACCTCTACCATGAGCCCTGAATACAATACACTATTCATTTTTGGTTGACTTTATCAGAAAGTAGCAATATCCAAGGGATCGAGGTATGACAAAGGATTGAATGAACTGGCAGCCAGCAAGGTGCATGTTACCTGTGAGGGGCTAACACCTGGCCTGTCAGGCTCCCTCCTCCAGTTTCCTTTTCCTGTCCTCTCCCTGGATTGCAGAGCTTATGGCCTGTGGGGGCCCAGGGAGCCTTTTGGGGAGGTGGGTGGTGCTATCTATGCATGCTCCCCACACGGTAGGGGGGCCTGTATAATGTGTTACCTGTGCAGCTGGTGGGGGAATTACCTTGGGGCTCCACATGGCATGCAGCCCCTGCCCACTCAAATTGGATGGGTCTGAACTAAAGTATAAGGGCCTTTTATTATATCTTAATCTGTAAGCCACACTAACTAGCTTAGTGTTGTTCATCTTGGTGGAGCAGTTGCATCTTAGGGTGAAAAACCATCTCTGACTAGCCTTAACCTGCACAGTTCTGACTTGCCACTGGAAGCTTGGTGAGCAGGGGCAGGGCTAGAAGCAGGTCCAGCTCACTGTATTTATTCAGTGCATGTAGGATAAGTCCATTTAAAGAATGAGGTGGGTAGGAGCCAAGTGGGTATTTTCAAGAGAGAAATCCATTGAAAAGGAGAGCACAGGAAAGTAAGAGCTAATGTGATTTGATTTGATTTTTTTTTGAGTAGTAAAAGCTTCCTATAAATCCTAAAGCTGAGTTCCTCGCTATTTCCGGTGCCTATGTTGCCTCCTGTTGCCTCCCAGACTGGCTTGCTGCTTGAGCTCCAAAGGGTCTGATGCTTTTTTTCCTATGCTGCTGCTTGAGCTCCAGAGAAAAAAAGTATCAGGCCCTTCAAAGCTCAGGTGGTGCCCCCTTGGGGTAGGGGGACAAGCTCTGGAGGGGTCTGATCCTCTTTTTTTTTTTTTTTCTTCAGAGCTTGCCTCTCCCCTCTGCTTCACTGTGGGTGGGAGCAGTGAGACAGTTCAAGTAGTAGTGGGAAGCACTGTAGCCTCCAGGTGCTCCAGAGCTGCGGCACTCGCTCTTCCTGATGTGCCTGGGGGGGGGTGCTGTGCCCAACCCTGCTGCACCCCGAAAGCCCAACTCAACCTGAGTCAAGAGGGGCCATTGCATCCTGGGATGCTGGAGGACTTCAATTTGGGCAGGGTAGCTGTGGAAAGTGGGCATACCTTAATGGAACAGGAGCAAAATTAGGCAGATTAGATGGAGATAATCCTACCCTGGAGTGGCATAGATGAATGAGTGTTTTAAACCACTTAAAAGTTGTTTAATGGCCTGGAGTTAAGATCTCCAGAAATCACCTAAAATTACTGTGCAACAAGGCTGTAACTTAAACTGCGAATTTATATCAACAAAATTTATACTGCTTCAACTGTTGTAGAATGGGTGTTCTATCGGTACAAAAAGTGCATATTCTCCTATGGGGAGAGGAATAACACCATCTATGCTGTTGTTCATATTGGTATATGCTATACTGCAAGAAAGTAATGCCCTAATCTAAAAAGTCATACCAGCACAAACTGTTTGTGAAGACCAAGATTGTCTGGAAAAGATGGCTACCTACAAATACTTGAAAGGTGTAGTAAATGAAGAATGCTGCTTTGGTGATACAAATAAGTAATACGAAACTTGAACAGAAATGATCTAAGAAATTGAGAGAGAGAAGTAGTGGAGGAGAAAAAAGTTTAGGCTTAATATCAGGAATACATTTCTTGCAGAACCTTCCTGTGGAAGTATTATAAGTTGCATGACTTTGCAGATGGTCCTTCAAACTATACTGGACATAATGCTGGAACATATATAATTACATTCTTGGGGGGGTGAATTTAAACAGAAGATTAAAAACAGCTGATCTTTTTTTCAAACCAGTGTTACTTTTTTTTTTCTTTCTCACTAGAGAATACTAACTGTTGTTGCATTTTTTCTTTTAATGTCTAAAGATTTGTTTTCCCCGTAGCTTGGAATGTAACATGGTGTCCTGCCATTCAGAATTTTTTCTTTGGATTTCTGGTAAGGCAAATGAACAGATGGATGAAGAGCAGATACTACTCATACATATGGCTATTTAAAATATGGAAGCTATTGGTAATTAAGTGGTTTTATATAGTACTGTTGAAAGATCCAGCTTAATTAAAGAAAAAAAAAACCCTAAGTTTTTTTTTAACTGCAAATGTTTAGTGAGAGGATTTCTATTACTATATTTATTTATTAATTTTTTTTTCCTGAAGTTTTTACACACAGTCTTTGTGGGTTTTTTTTTTTTTCCCACCAAAATTTTTCAATTTGCTATTCAAGAACATGTCAGTTACTCTTAAATCATATCATAATTAAAAAATTCTCTTTAGGAAACAGCAGACCACTTGATATATAACTGCAGTAAGAAACCCAGTTCTCTAATACAGCCATGTTTTCTAATTACAGGTTCACGTTTTGAAAGCCATTAGAAGATATTCTGCCATCCTATTGGATTACTTTGTTTACAGCACAGAATGTCATTCTGCTCTGGATTTTATATGGTGGTTATGATTTAATTCCCACTCTGTATATTTCTATGTATTGGTGGAGCATTGGAGCTCTTTAGGGCTGCTGTTACTGGAGTGGAAACTGATCCATTTTGAATCCCTTCTCAAAAGGACTAGACATTATTAGCAATGAGCTCCCAAAATCATCCAGGTAAGGACAACGGTTTGTTATTTTTTTCCCCCCATTTTTGTAAGAAAATGAATCACCCAACTTGTTTGTTTTTCTTTAAAAAAAAAAAAAAAAAAAAAAAATGAACTTTATCTTTACTAATTGCAGGTGTCTTTTTCTTTTGAGTTCTCTCCTTGAAAATATTCTGTTGGTACCCAGTGAAATTTCTTGTGAGTTACAATACAGAACAAAAATCCAGTTTTTGTGTGTGCGTCTTAATTTTAAACATGAAACTTAAAATAAAACTAGACAGTGAGGTTTCATCCATATTAAACTTGAAACTGGGGTATTTTCCTTTTTTAGAGCTGTAGCTGTTGAATTATGTACCACTGAACCTTTTAGTTGGCTCTCTGAGGAGTTGCTCACATGCTTAATTCCTTTTAGAGTTAAATACATGCTGTACTATATAATGCATCTTAATGCTTTATAGTCTCCATGTGATTGAACGATCATACTTCTGTTGGTATTACTTTTATCAATTATTTAACATAAAAACTTGGTAACGTAAAATGCTCTTTCTCTTTTAGAATGGGAGTACTTCTGTTAGAATGAGACTGCATGATTCACCTTAATTGACTGATGATGCATCTCTGAACATTTATACAAGTGTTATATTTTTGAGAACGTGCATCTAAACACTAGTTCATATGACGCTGCATAGTCCCATCTTTGAGAGAGCTTAAAAGTATTCTGAACAGCTGACATGCTGTATGAGGCAAATAACAGTAAACATTTTTGTTAGGGAGATAGAGGTCTTTTAATACTGTCTAATATGACTAGCTTCCTCTATGATTACTCATAAGTGAAATGTAATTGTTTTTTGATAGACATTTCTATACTACTGCACCTTCTGGTAATATTTTGTAGTTGTTTGGAAGTGGCACTTGTGACCTCTTTCATGGCATGTAATCTTATAAAAATATTTATCTATTTAACCTCAAATATGCTTTTCATGTTTACTCTTTTTGCTTTTTCACTTTGGATAGGGAAACTACTTTGATCAGTTTTGTTTGTTCTAATTACTTAAAAAATAATCAAATATTAAATGTTGTGGCCCTCTCTCTTTGCAACCTATTTTGTATCTAAGTTAGTTATGGTATTAACTTGACATTCCTGGACAAAAAGTCAGTTGGTAAAAGCGTATGATGGTGATTTATTCACAGCATTATAAAGAATCAGTCAGTTCACTGTGTGAAGTCCCTGAATCAAGATGTAGAAACCTAAGATTAGGTTTCTGTTTTTGAAAATCTTGGCCTAGAAGTTTTAGGAGGTTAGCAGGTAATTATCAGAAAGCGGTTTTATTTTAATTTTTTGAGGTTTATGACACCATGTGGTGTGTGTGCCATCCATGAATGTTTTATTTCCTTCGTTTAAACAAAACGTAACTTTTGTAAAATATGAAGTGTTTGCAATGTAAAACTAAAATGGCGTGAGTTGTTTGCATAATATTCCAAATGCATGGGTGCTTACTTTATTTCACAGATAAGAAAGCAGACTGTCATGTCACTTGCATGTTAGCTGGATGTTGTCTTTGCTGGAAAAATGTTTCACTTTTAAAGTACTAAAAGGATCCTAGACTTTTATTTTAGTTGCTTCCTTAGTTTTCCAGTAATTTTGGGGGGGTAGGGAAACGATTAACTATTTTGTACCTCACCAGTCCCTCACCTTGGGAACAACTTTGCTGATATGCCTTGTTCTTCCCTTGCTCTAGGTCAGCTCAGTTTGGCTACTTCTCTTGGTCTTGTAGGTAGTCTTGTCACTCGCCAGTTTTTATTACTTTTTTGGAATTACTGCTGGTCTTGGTCATGCTCACACTCCAGAGTCTAGCAAGGAATTCTTCCTAGTAGGAAGGAACTTTCTTTTTTTGCATTTTGAAAATGAAATTTTACTACCATCACCTTCACTTTTTGTTTCAGAATACAAATCTGTTCATGCCTTAGCTGAGCTCAACTCATTTCTTAACTATCTGCACATGATTTTATACATGTTCCCAAACGCTCCTGTGCCTCCCTCTCCCACACTGCACACCCCTCCACCATTGCACACAAGGAGCAAGGGTAGGACAGGAGCCCCAGGGCAGCAACCTAACCCTTTATGGGCTGTGTCCCCCACAGGCTTACCAGTTGGACAGCCCTGACTTGGACTCTAAGGGGAGCTTTTTGTTGATGTAACTGTTGAAGTTAGAGAGAGCCCTTTTAGAAAGAGGGGCATGCTGGTGGTAAAATTCAAGTTGTTTTATCTGTTGGCACGATTCTTACTTAATTTTAATCTTTATTCTTCCGTTGGAGAATACTTAAGAGAAAATCAGTGGATTGAAGGGCTGTGGGAGAAAAAGGGAAAAGACTGTGCTTTTGGATCATTTGAGTGAGAAATGAAATGTTGTGTTTGCTTTTTAAATCTTCGCTTAGAAGGGACATTTTAATCTTATAGTCATTATCCTATCATATTGATTTATGGGACTGAAAAACGGCTATGCACTTGTCGAGTATGCACTTACCTAAACTCAATGCAAGCGTTGCTCATTAACTACAGGAACAGCTTGTGCTAAGCTTTATGTACCTCGAAAGCTTCTTACCTTATTTCTCAGAGTACTTTATTACCTCTAATAGAAGCCCTAAAATTGCTAGGACCTAATCAGTTCAAGGCTGTTTTGGCACCTCACAGATTGTACAATTGAAGCAAGTACGCTTATGTTTTTCTTATGCACTTTGGAGCTTTATATACTTAACCAATAGGCAGATAACTTATTTGTCACAAAGTAAGCAATAGGGGAAAAATGGGATTGATCCTGTGTTGTGCAGTTAAATGAAATATGTGGTTTTCTGGTATGTATGTAAACGCAAGTCTGTAATTCTGGTAAATTATCAGATTTCAACAGGAATTTGTCTATGCCCAATTTCTTTATAAAAGGATCACTTCTATTTTGACTAAAGATCTTGCCAGAGATTAAACTAGAATTCAGAGGTTTTCCTTTGGTGTGCATTGTGGCACTGTTATGGTCAATCTTGTCCTATTAAAAAACAAAAAACCAAACAAACAAAAAAACAATTGTCATAACCCAAGGGTATGATTTTGTGTGTGCTTCGGCACTGCAGAATTATTTCCCGCCACGAGGAGCTTTTTTTGCACGGTGCAATTCTCAGTTGCAAAGAGAGAACCTGGGTGCAAAGGAGTTCCCGCCACCCGCATGCAAATTTGTGTCCCACTATTGGCTGTTTGTAAATTATTCCCACGTGGCGGCTAGCGATTGGCTTGCTAGCTGTATAAGAGGCTTGAGTGGTTTCCGCCCAAGTTGGAGAACTCCGAGGAGAACACCGCAAGGGAGGACTCCACAACCATCTGGAGGAGGAGAAGGAGGACTTCACATCCTGTGAAGAACTCTAAGCGCTGCGGAGCCTAACAAACCCAGCGTGTGCCTTAAGAAGGATATAGGGGCCTGATCAACCTCTATCCTCTCCCCGTCACCGCCTAATCCCTTGACGAACCCTTCCCTGCGTGCTCGTTCCACGGAGCCTAGCAAACTTTGTGTGTGTGTATCCAGAGCTCTGCCCGAGTTATTTCAAGAGGCTTGAGTTTTTCTACGGGTCTTGTTTGTACGAGTTTTGTAACTGCAACTTAAGCGAAGTTTTCTCCTGCCTGCACCGTGACCATCTACGGTGTAAGTAAAATAATCTTTAATCGACTGCTACGTGTCCGTGCCTAATTCTAGTCCGCTGGCCTGCATTCCCCGACCCACGTGCCAGAGCTGCTGGCCGCAGCCTGCCGCGCGCCCCCGAAAGCCTCGGACCGCTCCCGGCCCGCACACCAATGACAAAAAAGCCTTCTCTGAAATGCTTGGTAGAAATATATTTTTTCTGAATCTTGCCATAGCCAGTTTCTAGATTTATGATATCAGCTCCCATAGTTTTTTTGGTTAGGTTGCTCAAAATAATTCTTCCTAATGACATGCACTGCCTGAGGGAAGGCTCTGGCTCCATTTATACAGGACATTAGGACCTTGCTTTCACTTAATCTGAACTGACATAAGGCTTTTTTTTTTTTCTTCCACCCTCCCCAAGACATCCTACTACTGTGATCTCTAGGAACGTTATAAAAAGATAATTATGCTACAGATGATTTTAAAACTTATTTTTCACCTTTTGACAAATGCAGTGTTTTGGGGGAATACGCTGTAAGTTGTTAGCTGGGAGCAAGATGAAAGTGTGGAGTTCCTGGTTAATATTCCTTTTTATGACATGACTCCATACAAAAATAAATGGAGGAAACCATCTCCTAGAAATGAAAGAGTTAAGGGCATAAGAGTACTGGACAAGTAGATATCTCCAGGGTAGCTCTCTTCAGGCAAGGGGAGTGTTGTCCTAACCACTGACACCTCTTGGGCCAACAGGACTTTCAATGTCATTTGCTTGAGTTATAGGGTTGAGGAGAGAAGACCATGTAAATTCAACAGAACAGGAATTTGAAACAAGGAACTGAGGTGTATGCAACTCCCTGGTACAGTGACGAGTGTTTATCTTGGATGCTTGGTAAGAGTACCTTGTGTAGCCATGCATGTAAGCACTGCTTTTCTGTTCTAACTTAAGTATTCTGATGTTCCTGTTGACTGATAAATGCTAGTTTGTTGGGAAAAGGCTGTCCTAAGTTCCTGCAGGAGTCTTAAGCTAAGTTGGATGCATTGAGGAGCCAATTATGAGAAGCAGGGGTCATGGACTCATTGGACAGCAGGACTGCAGGGGTCTCACTTGCAAAACTTGGAGGCTCACGGCCTGCCAGTGTTTCTGCAGAGGCTGTAGCAGTGTGACAGTTGAGTAATTATGTCTTGAATATTGAAATATGACTTGTGTGGTAGAGGACAGTAATTAGTGTAGATTTTGTTTTGAGAACTCTTAATTTTGTGGTGACCAACTCCTTTACTCTTGGTGAAGGAAAATATGACACACCATTCTTGCTTCCTGGAAATCCTTGTAGTGGTAAGCAGTATA